GATATTCAGCAAGAAGATCCAAAATACACAAATCTATATGTGGGTGTGTATTTTCGCAGTCAGATATGTACATCCTTTGCATAGTCACACGCATATTTTCTCATCTGCATTCTGTTACTGGCACTCTCTATCAGGCCATCCTTTAGTATAACTGCAATATTAAATGTCACAATACTGTAATCCTCTTTCTATTTCTCTTGTTTGTTGGTTTGTCTCTCACCGCCTTTCTCTGTTGCCCTATCTGTCCTTTGTGACTGATGGACTTGCTGATTGCCTCAGTGGCATCATAATGATGATGGTTATAATTCTATTAAGGGTAATGATTGGTCTCTCTGCTGTGCTGTGCTTCCTCCATAAACAGTTACAACTCTCTCTCTTTCTTTCTCCTACACAGTGCTTCAACCATGTCCAGGCCAGCGGGGGGCAATGTTAATGATGTCACCCGCTTCCTGTCCACAGGGGCGGGGCCTGGGTCACCAACCCCAGTGTTCTCCGCCTCCAGCCAAGCTGACTGGGCGGCTAAGAGACTTATATGGGTGCCTTCAGAGAAACATGGATTTGAGGTAAGACTGATATACCGTATTATGGTCACACAAATCACACACACACATATGATATCGCACTATTTAATTTAAAGGTAGTAAATAGAATGTATAGTTATTTGACATAATATTTTCAAAATTAGAAATAAACAATTGGAAAATGATTCAGTGTGAAAAAATGTAAATAATTTGAATTTGATGCAGAAAAAACATGTAAAATATAGATTTATACTTTAGATAGAAACTTCTTGATTCTGTAATCCTATTATAATCCTATTATATAAAAATTGTTACTAAAAAGGAAGTAGACTCTGTAACCAACAGTGCACTCAGTAATGTGATTAAGTAAGTCTGTGTGCACTGGGAATCATATTTTGTCAAACAAAGACCAGGTAACACATACATGGATAATAATCAGGAATAATAATAAATTATTAGGCAGAAATGTTAGAAAAAGAAAGTAAACACAACAAATGTTTCCACTATAATGCTTAAAGTTATATCCAACATTTTTATCCAGAATTATAAAATTTTTGTCATCATCCATGAAAACAAAGGAAATTAGAATTAAATACAGTGACAGCATACAGTGAAGCGAATTCAAAGAAGATAAAAAAAATCACTATAAAAGTGGTCCATATGACTCATAAGCTACATTCCATAGACTTTGTAAGTCATATGATTGATTTTTGTGTGAAACAAACTCAAATTTAGATATGTTAATGACTGAAAATCTTCCGATCTCATCGTCTCTGTGAGAGGGATGGTGTTGATTAATAATGTGTGTAACCTGGGTCCAGTGTAGTGAACACATGCTTCACACAGATATTTATGGGCAAATGTAATTATTTGCTAGTCAAACATTGAAAAATCCATAGGCCTATACAGTAGATCAAACACCAGTCTGAATATTGAAGAGCGTGTGTCCGTTATGGCACTGCATCTTACATTATGCAGTGTGATTTATTAGAGGTAATTTGGAAGTGTCATCAAAGTGGCCGAATTGTCAGATTGGTTCAACTGTCATGTGGCGGCTGCTGCCAAAACACTTATAGGAAAACACACCCAAGTGATTGACATGCATAGACTAAACTAGCCATTGCTTACGATCACTTTGTGTTCTGTGGAAAAGAGCTCTGAAGCCCTCTGGGGAATTTTGAGGACTGGGATAAGGAGCAGATGACACAAAAATTTAAATAACACAACAAGAATTCAGCTAGTACATACACATTCCCTTTGTGTTGCACGATCTTAGTCAGAAAACTTGAATGACTTTAATTGGTGAAGTTCCTGCTTTCGTAATTTCGGTCTTGAAACAGGGTGAGGTCACTACCACGTCCAGTCAAGCAGGCTGTATCGCCCACAGGCTCACAGCCTTCTTCAGTGCCTGGATGTCACAACAGAGTGCTTTATTATGTAGGCTAATTGATTTGAATATGGGTTTGTATAACAATACTCTTTTAATCAGGGATTCTGAGCGATACTGGAGATCAGAATGGTTTATGAGGATCTTTTCTTCTCTTGTGCACTCTAACAAAGTGGAAAGGTGGAAGAGGTGTCTTGCCCCAATAGACCTTAGTCAGAGTAGGACTATATTTAATTTTTGACAGGATAGAAGGACAGTGTGATCATTGGATTTAACAACATAACGCTTGTTCAGCTGACGAAACGTCATTCCGAAGAAAAAAAAATTCAGTGGACAAAAACTTGTGAGCTGTGAAAATTGCATGATCTAGTACCTTTATGTGCCGTTGTAACACAGCCTCGTTTTCATCCGCATTAAATTCAGTATCATCTAGCCTGTCTAAGGTCTATTGCTGGAGAACACATGAGGATGGGCCTTTCTTGGCTTGACTGGCATATGGGACTAGCTCACTCAAAGATTACAATTCTGTTATTCTCTCGCCCTCATGTTTTTCCAAAACCATATGACTTTTTTTCTTCTGTGTGAACACAAAAGGACATGTTTTGCAGAATGTCCTTGCTGCTCTGTTCCATATAGTAAAAGTGAATGGGGATGTGTAAATGTATGTATTAAAACTAAGAGTGTCATAAAAATGAGTAATTATGACTTGTGTGCTGTACTGCAAACTGTACATTACTTAAAGTACATTATTCTAATTATTAAATAAATATTTTTAATATCATCAATTTTCATGATGTTTATGCATATTCTAATTCATATCTGTCTCTCCTTTGGTACAAAGCAGTCTGATTTACTATCACACAGATATATGGATATACTTATGTATCTTAAGCTTACTTTTAATGCTTTATTGAGCTAATTATTATTGCTCCATTGTTGTTATATATGTATTTAAAGTAATTTTAAAGGCTATTGGGTAACACTTTATTGTACAGTGTCCTTGTCACCCATGTTACATGTATTTACTATATAGTAATAACAGCAAATTATATATAAATACATGTTAATTACTGTTACTCAGTACTTAATTGTATAATTACATGGTAACAAGGACACCTTAAATGAAGTGTAACTAGTTATTACTTTCTAACAATACTTAAATAATCTGCAGGTTACTCGATTACCAAAATAAACAATAGTGAGTAGGCTTTGCATGCCATATTTTAATGTTAGCAAAGATGGATGACATTTGAGAGCTAGATTAAAGTTTGGTCTGTTTTTCACACAAAAGTATGGTATGGATTCAGACTTGGAATATAGTGCACAAATCATAAAGACCATTTAATAGTGTTTTTTTTCTTGACATTTTTGGAGCTCGACATCCACCGTCCCCATTCACTTTTAATAAAGAGCAGCAAGGAAATTCTGTGTAACTTCTGCTTTTGTGTTTAGAAACATGAGTCTGAGCAAATGGGTGAACTATATCTTTTATATTTTTAGTGTTCAGCTAGCTTTAATATACAGACACCCACCATAATGCACTATAAAATGGTTTAAAATGCAATGATGTAGAATGGACTGTTTGATAGTCTGTATCATGGATTGGAATACATGTTATGAATGGCCTGTTTTTTCCTGTAAGGTTATACTGTATAGACCTCATTTCCACTCTTTGCTTGCTGGCCTGGTTGTCACTTCACCAATCCATCAAATTCAGAATGTGCACATTGTCCCTCTATCCACACACACACACACACACAGACAGAGGAGCAACCCTGCATCAAATACATAGATAGGAAGAAAAAACTTAGAAAAATACTTTTTCCTATCCAAGTTTAACATGCAAAGATAATTATAAGTAAACCACTTATAGATTGAGTTCCACCATAAGTCTAAACACTGTGATGGTATAAAACATTGCTCTGATTTAACCAAAAAGTCTAGGTTTAGCTGGTTAGCATGTTTCTGTTAGCCAATACTGGTAGATGTTGTAACTAGAACATCTGGCTGCAAAAAGCATATTTTTCCATAAACAGCTATTCAAAAGGCATAGTGTATTATGTTGGTATTTTTGCAAATATCATATAAATGGAAAAACTTGTTATTGAAGTCTCAACAGTGCCCATTTCTTTCTGGAGAGCTCTAAAAAACCATGAAATGAACTAAATTTGGGTTTAGTAAGATTTAAAAAAAAAAAAAAAGAAATTAGAAATTTTTTTTACTTAGCAAGGACGATTAAATTGATCAAAAGTGTCATCACAGGAATAAAGTAAATTAAAAAAAATGTTATCTTAAGTTAAGTGAGCATAAGAGACTTCTTACAGCTCATGTGATTGGCTCAAAAAAAAAA